TAAAGGTTTCACGTGACAGGTCTTTTCAATTTAACCTTTTTTCTTCAAAGTGCCTGTTATCTTCTACTTAAAAGCACAAACTGAATACTAAGTATGGGCTTACTGCAGCTATTAATCACTCAGCTAAGTAAAACCAATCGCAAACTGTGAGTAGATGTAAATAGAATAATAGCATTGCTACCTGCTACTTCTTAGTTCTATATAGACTGTGGAGTGAAAGATAAAATAAGAGCTGCAACATAGTTTAGGGGAAAATTGCTAGTTTTGCATTAAGGTAAGATATAGAAACATGATCAATATACAAGGTAAATATTATTACTTAATAATATTTTGTTTCCTCTGCCACACACAGCTTAACTTCTGCTGGGTTCTGGTCTACCGGAGCTGTTTTATTCAATGATTGCTTCATATAAAAAGCATATAGGGCTTTCTTTTCTCAAATAAATTACCATCAGGACTAGAGTCAGCTTTCTCACCTGGGAAAGCAGAAATTATCCACAAGTCCATTCCCTGTGAAGACAAAGTTCATTAACATGTAGCTACCATCATTCATCTCCATTTATTTTCAGTGAATGTTTTCTTCTGTGCTTTGTCCTTTCGAACTCTCTCCTTTCTAACTCTCTCCTTTCTACTTTTCTGCTCTCTTATTTAAAGCTTCTCCTTTTTTGTGACGCTTTCTTCATGCCTCTCATCCTTTACTATTCATAATTGTCCTTCTCAGGCAAGTAAAATACTTAAGAGTTTTTGTTACTAGTCCTTCATAAGGCAGAGTGCAAATCCCTTTATACTTTTGTATTCGGACCATTTATTAGCTCTTTGGTTCTAGTTTTTCTCATATAAGTGATAGATAGACTTCATTGCAATTTCTTCACCATAAAGGTAGAAAGTTGCTAACGGAATGCAAAATTAGGAAGATAAATCTAGGATTGACTTTGCAATTGACAGCTCAAAAATAGTTTTCCCCTGGACCTTTGCAATTTCCCAGCTATATTTGTTTCCCTTGATCATGCCTGTCTTTTCCCAGATTGGTATGTATATGCCTTTCTGAACCTGAGAGGAAAGACATTTCTGTAACATTATTGCTTGTATCATTTATTTTTCTAACTTTTTTTCCTTTTCTCTTTATGATTAAAGATTTGGCAAACTCAAGGACCAACAGTCCAACTGTTTTCATGTTTCTCGTAAATCAAATTCACTGTCTTATCTCTGCTCACCTACTCACTAATTTACCAATCTTTCATGTATTTAACAGTCTTCCTAGTTCACTGTCATGGGTTAACCCCCGTCAGCAACTAAGCACCACACAGCCATTTGCTCACTCCAATGCAGCATGAGAAAACTCATGGGTTGAGATAAAGATAGTTTAATAAGACAGCAAAGGAATAAATAATAATAATC